ACATATGATGTCGCAGTTAAGCGACTGCTGCCTGTGGATGGCTCTGGATTGAGCTGATACAGGCAAAAGACTTCTCTCTCCCATATTTGGGCTGACAGGGTGTTCAAAAAAAAAGCGCTTCATGGCATAGGACCCGGTTATCTCCGAGACCGCCTTCTGCCGCAGATCCCCTCCCTCAGACCGGTACGCTCCCACAGAGTGGGTCTCCTCAGGGTGCCGTCGGCCAAGCAATGTCGGCTGGCGACCCCCAGGGGGAGGGCCTTCTCTGTGGGTGCCCCTACCCTCTGGAACGAGCTACCCCCCGAGATCCGGATGATTCCGAATCTCCCTGCTTTCCGTCGCGCCCTCAAGACATGGCTCTTCCAACAAGCGGACCTGACCTAGGGAGGATTTTATATGGGGTTTATTTTTTTAGCAATTTGATAGAGACACAACTTTAAAATTTGATTTAATTCGGTTTTATCGGGGGGGGGGGGAATGTATTTATGTTTTGGTTTTAAATATGTTGTGCGCCGCCCTGAGTCCCGTCGGGAGAAGGGCGGCATATAAATTAAAATAAATAAAATAAATAAATAAATAATTCATATATTTAGAAAACAACCTTTTGACCTGGATATTTACTGAGAGAAGTCTGCCTGCAGAGTCTCTCAATATTACTTGGTGCAGTGAATCTGAGTCCTTTTCCGACAGCCTCCTATATAATCTGCTTATTTATTTATTTTATTTATTTTTATTTTATTTATATTTAAATTTATATGCCGCCCTTCTCCCCATGGGACTCAGGGCGGCTCACAGCATATTAAAACATTGTACAAAAAGAAATTTTCCCCTGCTAAAATTTAAATTGACTGGCTGCCCAACTCCAGGCATTTTTCAATAAGAAAATTATTGGTGCAGCTGAGTGGGTATATCAGGTGTGCTCCATTCAGAGTCTGGGGAAAACTGATAAGAACAGATACTACACTTGATCTTAGCCAAAAGGCCGAGAAGCTTTTGATTAAACGTTTTTTTATCACTTTTATTTACTTAGTATGATTTATATATTATATATATTTTATATTTAAGTTTATTATTGTATATTAGAGTTAAAGTATGTTAATATTTGATTGTATTATGTTTGGGTAGCTTTATTTAGATTTGGGGTGTTATCCCTGTATTCAGTTCTGGGAAGTCCGGGGGGGGGGGGGNTAAAATTTGGTGTATTAATACGTTATAGAGAAATAATGTAATTTTTTCTTTGTGAAGAGGAGATGGTCGGCTAGTACCCCCAAACTGCATCCGAAGGATGTGGAAAAGAAGGTGGTGGGACGTGTAGTTGGAAAGGAGGAAGGAGGAGAGAGGTGTGGGTAGGAGGGGAAGGAAGGAAGAGGGAAGTAGGTAGGAAGGTTGAGGGAGAGAGGGTGGATGCAGGGGGGGGGGACTGCCGATCAACTCTGAAAATATGATATTTAATAGGTTTTCTTTTTTTTAATGAAGTACACCATATTTGTATTATTTGTTTATTTGAAAATTAATAAAATTTGTAAAATCAGAGTCTGGGGAAGTGGGTTCTAAGTTTAGCTCTTTTTATTTAAAAAAAAAAAAAAAAAGCATGCAGACAGAGCCTGTTGGGTTCCTCCTGATGAAGTTCTTCCTCTTGGTTTTTTTTCAGGGTTACGGAGATCACAAGCCGAAGTCTTCCACTTCAGCTCAGGAAGTGAAAACGCTGGATGGGATTTATACAGAACAGGTAAACCAGCAACTGTATTGCTTATACATACATACATACATACATACATACATACATATAGTGGGTAGGTGGATGGGAAGGAAGAGGGATAAGTGGATGGATAGATAGATGGATAGATGATAGATATAGACAAGAGAGGGGAGATAGGGAGAGAGAGAGAGAGATAAATAGATATGGATGGATGGATGGATATCTAGATAGATACACAGAGACAAAGAGATGGATAGGTAGATATTTATAAATAGATAGGGATAGGCTAGGTAGATATAAAGAGAGAGATGGATAGGTAGAGATAGACGAGATGAATAGATAAAAAGAGATATAGATGGATAGGTAGATATATATAGAGAGATACATAGATAGGACAGAGAGATACATAAATAGATAAATAGGGTAGATATAGACATAGAAATGGATAGGTAGAAAGGGATAGGTAGGTAGATGATAGGTAAGTAGATATGTAGACAGGTATGTAGACATAGAGATAGACAGATAGTTGAAATCCTATAAATTAACATTGCATAGAAGGGATTAGATAAGTAGTAGTAATGGATGGATGGATGGATAGGTAGATATAGAGAGAGACAGAGAGAGATAGGATAGAGAGATAGATAAATAGGGTAGGTAGATATAGACTTAGAAATGGATAGGTAGATATGTAGACATAGATAGTTGAAATCTGATAAATTAACATTGCATAGAAGGGATCAAACAGTTCTCATAAACTAAGGCTATAAATAAAAAAATCTGAGTTTTGGTTTATTTAATAAACATATTTCAATCTCCTCACGAGTTTATCAAAACTAAACAACCAGGGATATTGGCTCTAATACACCCATGTGTGTACAAGGGACACTTTTATAGAACGTATAAAACAACCTCTGCATTTGGGGAGCTGCCTTCTAACGCAGGCACTTGTGCGAAACCATCAACGCGGATCGTTTACGCAGCCTAGCTCGGCACGCGAAGGGAACGGGGGGGGGGGTTGCCAATCCAGCCGGCATCCCGTCTCTTTTGCAGGTGGCCATGGGCTACGCTCACTCCCTGGCGATCGCCCGCGATGACAACGAAGCTGAAAAGGAGAAGATCAAGAAATTGCCAGAATACAACCCACGCACCCTCTGATGCCAGTCATGTGACTCTTCCCTCCACTGGGCACGCCGGCGACGGCACGGCATTGGTGATTGGCGAAGAGACCATGCGTTTCGTTAGACTTCTGAGAATTCGGTTTTTATACGGCATTTGAAGTTTTAACTACCTGTTGCTAGGACTCTTCTCTGCCCTGCTCCACCCCATCCTTTTTCCCCAAGGTGGCTTGTTTCGTATTTTGTATTTCTTTTTTTTCTTTTTTTTTTTGTGATGGTGGTGGAGGAGGAGGAGGATAAATTGAAGAAGTCCATTCGTCCTTTTTTTCGGTCACCAGTCCGATGGAAACTTCAGAGTTTTTCTCCCCCTGTTAAACCTGATCGGGACCAGTAAGCCAGCATTGAAAGTTTGTTTGTTTGTTTTCTACTGCAAAGAGTGGCCTGTGCTTTGCGTTTTGCCCCCCTGTGGAAGGCAGCTATTTGTTTTTATTATTTCTCTGCCTTTCTGTCATTTCCTTTTGATTTAATTTGGGCACCAGGCCTCCGAGTTCAAGAGTTCCTGTTGATTTAGGGTTGAGCAGTTGTGCCACCTCGTTTCCGTGTTGCCACAGACCTTTTAATTGGCTTTGTGTTCCTTTGTAATTGCACAGCATTTCTTTCTCACAATCTGGGGGAGGGGGGGGGACTTGTAGGACATTTTGCTTGCAAGTGGCAATTGTCCTTAGGGGTGAGATTAGGAGGCTGACCACAGGAGGGTGCTTCGCATCTGGTTTTAGAACAAGTGAATTTGTTGCGTTGAAAACAGACCTGGAGAGAAATTTCACTTTATCCGGGTTAAATTCTGACCCTGGTACTTAAGCTGAAAAAAAAAAATAAGCTTCTCTTTTGTTTATCTTTTTCTCTTTATGGGCTGGCACACACTTTCCTAGGAAGTGGAACTTTTGAGTTCCTCTTTTTGAAAGAGGAATTTCTTTAGATCATTGAACGACAGCTGAGAGGTGGTTCTCAGACTTGAAGCGTCACACCTCCTAAGGCTTAGAATATTTTGGGGGGGTTGGTGTTCCCTCTAACCCCTTCTCTTGACACCCCCCCACCAAATACTAACAACCCTTTGATCCCTGGTTGAGGAAACTGCATAAAGTTTCCCAGAAATAACAGGAGATGCATTTCCAGCCCGTGGGAATTTAATTCACAGCCGTCTTATTTCACCATTCGGTCTTTGTGGGATGGAAATTTTGTGCCCTGGAAGCAAAGCACACTGCTCTATTTCAGATGGTCTATTATAAGGGACCAGGATCCTTTCCCCTTTCACCATCACTGCCGTCCCTCAGCGGGTTTTTGTCACCTTTTTAACCAGATCTGCTAACTTGTGAGTTAGAACAGCGAGCAATAAACCCGGGAAAAATAATAATAATAATGTAAACCCACCACTGATGGATGGAACATGGAGAAAGTTGGAAGGCAGCTTTGATTGTTGATTTGATGCTAAATTTGCAGGTTCAGGATACTAGATGGAGAACGATGTTAAAGTGAGAAAAATCAGGAAGTTGGCTCCCTTTGCCCAGGTCTGTTTCAAAACGTTTTCTCTCTTTTTTTTTTCCTGATTGGGTACGTACAGCCGCAGTTCAATACCCCTCACCATTTTATTTGTCTTGCCAGATGTTCCTCTTCTTCATTGGCTAAGTCATTCTAACCCTAACAGGAAACCCCGTAAATTAAACAGGGGATAATTTATTTGCCATGGGAGAGAAAGAAGACAAAGAGGTACTTCCATTTTCACCAAAGAAACGGCTGTTTTTATGCTAAGTAAAAAAGATTTTGCTTTGGACCTGGTTAGCAAAAAGACTTCTGTTTTAAAACTGCTAACTCTTTTTTCTTTATCAAGGAGAAGGGCCCAGTGGGGACAAATTAAAGTGAGATGGGGGAAAAAAAGGTTTTAGCCTAGTCTTGTCACTCTCTTGTTTTTCCTCTTCCACTTCTTTTTATATTTCTCAAATGTTTAAATAAATGATGGGTTTGTTTAGACTTTGCAGTCTTACTTTCTCCTTCTTTCTGTACTGACCTAACAGCAGAGATGATCCCGCATTTCATGCTTTATCAGGACCTGTTGCGTAGCAGAACATTTTTAGAACACATCTGCGTTCTTTGCCAAGGGATGTCTTGTTAATTTCTTAGCTGGTTGAAAGCAGGATATGGAATGATCTGGAAAAGCTAGGTATGTAAGACACCTTTTTCTTCAGTAAGTTGAAAGTTACATAAGTTATTAAACGAGAATAGACAATAAGACAGTAGTCTGATATAAAGCTGACAAGATGTTTCTGGAAGCATTTAGAGCAGGGGTCTTCAAACTTGGCCCTTTTAGGACTTGTGGACTTCAACTCCCAGAATTCCTCTGCCTGGCTGAGGAATTCTGGGAGTTGAAGTCCACAAGTCCTAAAAGGGCCAAGTTTGAAGACCCCTGATTTAGAGTTTTGGGGAAATGAGGGTTGAGAAAAGCTTCATCCCACCAACAAGGATGCAGAATCTTCTGCTAGAACAGAAGTGGCCAAGGAACAGCATGTGGAAATGTTAAGACTTTGAGGGGTTTTTTTATTTTACTCGTTCTTCTGCTGGAAGAGACAAGCCATAATACGAGTCAAACTGTAAACCCCCAAGGAGAACATTGAAGGAAGCCTGCCATTACAAGATCCCTCTTTTTAGAGAACGTCCTACTGCTTGCTTGGCAGCCCCTGAGCATTCCAAAAGTGCTTTTTCCAAGAGGCAACTAGACTTTCTTGTTTTTTCTTTGAAGACGTTTCGCTTCTCCTCCAAGAAGCTTCTTCAGCTCTGACTGGATGGTGGGGAACGGAAGGATTGATCCTTGCAGACCGCTGGTCATTTGCGTCCTTTTAGAGAGTCGTTGAGGCCACTTGGAGGTTTATCTGTGTCCCTCTAAGGAAATCCTTCCATTCCCCACCATCCAGTCAGAGCTGAAGAAGCTTCTTGGATGAGAAGCGAAACGTCTTCAAAGAAAAACAAGAAAGTCCAGTTGCCTCCTGACAAAGCACCTTTGGGGACAACCAAGACCTGGATGATGGAGAATCTCCATAGACCTTCATCCCCTGAGCAGTTTTACTGAGATATTTTTGAGTTGGATTTAAACTCTGAAGAACATCTGCTGATATTCTAGTGCTCCCCACATTGGTGATCTCTCCAATAGCAAGATCATCAGAAGAAGCTAGTCAAGGTGGTTAGATGGAGATGGTTGAAGTCAACAAGAGAAAGGTCAATGTTAAGGACCCATCAGAAAGGTCTTCTTGTACCTTAGGGAGCCAAAATTCTTTGGAGAGTCTCCATAATTCCCATGTAGGTGTACTGACAATAATAGCACCTTGCTCTGATTTATTTTGAATTCTTGCTAAGATCATGTGGTCCTCATGACCACAATTGAGCCCAGATTTTCTGCCATGGTGAGACATTTGTTAGTGAGTTTTTGCCCTGTTTTACGACTTTTCTCGCCACGCTAGTTAAGTGAATCAGTGCAGTTGATAAGTTAGTGACCGGTTGTTAAGTGAATACGGCTTCCCCATTCTGACTTTGCTTGTCAGATGGTCGCAAAAGGGGATCACGTGACCCCAGGACACTGTGACCATCATCAATACGAGTCAATTGTCAATCATCTGAATTTTGATCCCGTGATTATGGGGATACTGCAGAAGTCGCAACTGAAAAAACGGTCATGTCACTTTTTAGTGCCATGGTAACTGAACAGTCACTAAATGAATTATTGTAAGTCAAGGACTAGTTGTATTCACGGTCTACCTTTATGACCATATTAACAGTAGCATTGATTTAAAAAAATGGGAACAGAATGCTTAACTGTTGTTCACAATTTATTCAAGCAATTTGAAAGATCAGTGAGAGAAGCCTCTGCAAAAAAATTTTAAAATATAAAATAATTCAGCGGTACGCATTTCATTTAAAAATAAAACAGCCAAAGAAACATGGACTCCACAATTATTGCACCCTCGTAATGCCTCTTTGTGAATCAAGTGTTTGAAATGATAGAGAGAAATCAACATAAAACTAAAATGTGGATGAATTACTCCTCAATATTCCTATTTTGATTTGTACACTTGGAAGGGCTGCCAGCCTTCATAACGCATCTGGGGCCTGCCACTAAGTACTTTTATGTCACAAATTATTTTTCTTCAACTCCGTCATCCCAGGTTCACAAGATCTTGGACCAGCTTGTTTTGGGGTTTTTTGGAAAATGTTCTTCATCTGTTGGAGTGTGTTTTGGTGATTTCTTGATATGTGACTATCTGACTTGGCTTATCTAGGCGGTGGTGACTAAACATGAGCTGATGAGTTTTGTTGATGTGACACAAGGACTTGGGGGGACCTGATAGCAGTATTCCAATATTTGAGAGGCTGCCGCAAAGATGAGGGCGTCAATTTATTTTCCAAAGCACCAGAGGGCAGGACAAGAAACAACAGATGGAAAATAATCAAGGAGAGAAGCAACCTGGAATTAAGGAGAAACTTCCTGAAAGTGAGGACAATTAACCAGTGGAGCTGCTTTGCCTTCAGAAGTTGTGAGTGCTTCATCACTCAAGGTTTTTAAGAAGAGACTCACTAGACAGTCACTTGTCTGAAATGGTATAGGACAGTGATGGCGAACCTTTTAGAGACCGAGTGCCCAAACCGCAACCCAAAACCCACTTATTTATCGCAAAGTGCCAGGACCGCATCAGCATTGTGGTGCCTTCATGGGGGGGCAGGGAGGTGCCTCTGAGTGCCGCCTCTGGCACGCAAAAACCGGGGGCACAAAAGTGGGCCACCGTGCTGCAAGGCGCAAAAACGGCCGTGCCGTGGGGTGCAGATACAAGGCACTGCACCACGCAAGAATGGGGCAGGGCTAGTGAGTATCACGCAGGCACTAGCCCCGCCCCATTTGCAGCACGTGCGTGCTCGCAGCCCTGTGCACCCATGCATGCATGTAAAATGCTTCCCCATCCCTTTTCTTCCAGTCCACCAATCAATGGTTGGTGACTTCCGCTCTACCACCTCTACTTGAGCTTGCTAATTGGCCACTTCGCCTCCTTTGTGCTGGGCGGGGCTCCTGCTCCGGGCGGCAGTGGTGGCCTGATGCACCTGCTGCTGGCGGCGGTGGCGCATGTGCCAACAGAGAGGGCTCTGAGTGCCGCCTCTGGCACGCGTGCCATAGGTTCACCACCACTGGTGTAGGATCTCTTGCTTGAGCCAGGGGCTGGACTAGAAGATCTCTGAGATCTTTTCCATCTCTATTCTGATTCTGAAATAGCATTCTTTCAAGGACCATGGATCTACTAGGCTTATGAAATGACTTATTGGACCTCCATAACTAGTTTTAGAATTACTGTGCATGAATAAAGAGAAGGGTTAGAGCAGCTTGCCTCAACTTAGATGCCCTCTTGTTCTTTTGGGTGATTTTGGCAGACCTGCTACATTTAGAGCTGAGAAGAGCCTGCTTAGATAAACTGGAGAAAGTCAACCGCAAGAGAAGCTTGCAAACACCTTCATCTAAAAGAAGAATCACCAGAAAGTTGCTGGATTTCCTGTGGAAGTGCGGGAGAAGACACGCAAGGCCTGTGCCGTCGTCTTCGTTGAGTGGGAAACAGAAGCCGTGGTGAGGCCCTCAAGGCTTCATGTCCCACCACTTGAAGGAGAAGGGCTTCCGACGGACATTTGTGCCACAATGAACATCACCAAAGCGGATGTAGTAAGTTAAGTAGTCATCGATGAAATTGCAGGACAATCCTAATGGCTCCAGAAGACGCCGGACCTCTTTCTCCAAGCAGCATTGGCCGTGGATGATAGGCCCAAACGGCTTTGGGATGCCCAGGTATTTCCCCAGGACAATCATATTTACCTGCAGAAGGGAGATAACCATTGGTCTAAGGCAGGGGTAGGCAACCTTGGCTCTTTTATGACTCGTGGACCAACTCCCAGAATTCCTGAGCCAGCCATGCTGAGGGGAAAGGGAGAGCCGACTGAGGAATTCTGAGAGTTGAAGTCCACCAGCCATAAAAGAGCCAAGTTTGAAGACCCCTGGTCTGGATCCCAGCCCGCAGTTTCATCAAAATGGCCGACTGAGGAATTCTGGGAGCTGAAGTCCACCAGTCATAAAAGGGCCAAGTTTGAAGACCCCTGGTCTGGATCCCAGCCCGCAGTTTCATCAAAATGGCCGACTGAGGAATTCTGGGAGTTGAAGTCCACCAGTCATAAAAGGGCCAAGTATGAAGACCCCTGGTCTGGATCCATGCCTGCAGTTTCATCAAAATGGCCGACTGAGGAATTCTGAGAGTTGAAGTCCACCAGTCATAAAAGGGCCAAGTTTGAAGACCCCTGGTCTGGATCCCAGCCCGCAGTTTCATCAAAATGGCCGACTGAGGAATTCTGGGAGTTGAAGTCCACCAGTCATAAAACGGCCAAGTTTGAAGACTCCTGGTCTGGATCCCAGCCCCCAGTTTCATCAAAATGGCCGACTGAGGAATTCTGGGAGTTGAAGTCCACCAGTCATAAAAGGGCCAAGTTGGAAGACCCCTGCTCAAGAGCAAAATAAGGAACCATCTTTCGTACTGAATCCACGTTTTTCAGCATTGGATCCTTCCCTGGTCTTGGGAGGGGGGGGAACAAGGAACTGCACCACCCACCAAAGAAGTAAGAAAAACCAAACGTGCCCCATTATCAGAAAGGCCGGTGGATCCACCAGCTGAGGCCCCTCGAATTAATGGACTGCATCCAGTTTTGGTGGCCCCGTTATAAAAAAGATGTTGAGACTTTAGAAAGAGTACAAGCAGAGCGACAAAAATGATTAGGGGGGCGGAGGCTAAAATATACCAAGAATGGTTGCTGGAATTGGGTCTGTCTAGTTCAGGGGTGGGCAACCTTGGCTCTTTTATGACTGGTGGACTTCAACTCCCAGAATTCCCGAGCCAGCCACGCTGAGGGGAAAGGGAGAGGTTTCCAAGCTGAGCCATGCTGGCTTAGGAATTCTGGGGGTTGAAGTCCACAAGTTATGAAGGGGCCATAGTTCCCCCATACTGGCTCAGGAATTCTGGGAGTTGAAGTCCACTAGTCATGAAGGGGCCATAGTTCCCCCATGCTGGCTCAGGAATTCTGGGAGTTGAAGTCCACGAGTCATGAAGGGACCATAGTTCCCCCATGCTGGCTCAGGAATTCTGGGAGTTGAAGTCCACGAGTCATGAAGGGACCATAGTTCCCCCATGCTGGCTCAAGAATTCTGGGAGTTGAAGTCCACCAGTCATAAAAGAGCCAAGGTTGCCTACCCCTGGTCTAATGTTGGACTGTAATCAGTTTTCGTGATTTTGTACCTGATACGTTTTAACACTCTACTTCTCCAGCTGCTTTTAAAGTCAAGGAGGATAAGTTCTTTACTAGGGACTTAGTTGTCCCTAGTAGTTGCCTTAATTTACTATCTGTGTCACAGCACCTTCAGTTGGATTGTAGCTTCACATTAGAACCGTTCAGAAGGATGCTGTAGAAGTGAACACAAGGCACAGTACTGGATTCACCCAATGCTTTGAGCCAGACAAGGCTCTGAGAATTTCTGGTGATGGCGTGAACCCAACCGGCACATCAAAAGTGCATGCTATGTTTCCTGTCATTCCACACACCCCCATGCCTTGGGAAGAGTTGGCAACTAGAAGGTCATGTCTGGCTCCCGGTGAGATACCCACTGCTTCTCCAAAGGACAACAATAGAAATTGAATTAAGCTGAACCTTTGACTGGGAGGGCCTGCTTGAGTCACTTCTTAGCTGGTTCTTCTCAAAGCACATGAAGCGGTATACAAGTCTTAAGTGCTATTGCCGTTGCTATTCGGGGCTGGAGTCTTACCATGTCTGGGAAATAAGCCTCAGCGGAAACCTTGATGCTTTTAGAAGTAGGAGGCCGGGGATACTGAAAAGGATAAGGTGGAGATTGAGGATACTCGGGAAAAGGAGGAGAAGGCGGATCCTGAGGATAATTGAGAAAGGGGTGAAAAAGCTGAGGTATCTCAATAATGTCTTCCTTTGTCAGCTCCAGTTCCTCGTGAAGGATTTTCCTGTTCCAATCAATGCACTCCTGGAAGGGGGAAAAAAGAGATGCTTTAGTGAGGAGAAAAAAAAGAGTAGGATGAGGCCATACTTAACATTTCAGGGCCCACAAAGTGAGCGCAATGAAACCATGACTAATTGAGCCCAAAATTTACAGTGGTGGCCAAAATTGTGGAAACCTTTTGGGAAAAGTACCGTAGAAATGCAACCTTTGCTTAAGTTTCCACCCATTTTTCTTGTAATTTCTTTATAACTGTAGCCTTGTTCACTTAATAACACAGCACGCATTACAAGATAAGGCCCTCAGGGATTCAGTTTTTAAGGTGTGTGTTTCCCCAACTTGCCATCTTCAGATGTGTTTGGGATATGCCTGACTCAACCGAAGGGTGCCTGGTTGGGTAGCTTTGTAGAGAAGTTGTGTTCACAAACACCACAGCCAATTTTTTTCTCTTGTACATCTTCAGTATCTTCACAAGAAGATCCACAGCCTTTGCTTTTTTGCTAGGCCAGGATTGAAATCTTATATTAACTTTCTATAGATTATTCTTCGGGCCATTTTTCTCTGGCTAAGTCCTCCCTTAAGGATTCAAAACCACGAGAAAACGTGTGCTACAATTTGGTAAGACCACAAGCATTGAGGCTTCTCTATTGCAACCAGGCTACTTGTAGACATGGGAAGTCTCCCTTCCCTTCTACTCTACTTGAAGATGGTGTACAACATGGTTACAACAGGTTCAAAGGAGAGGGACAAAGATGATGTTAAGAGTTGAGGAACTTGGGATGTTCAACCGGGAGAAAAGATGGAGGAGAGGAGACATTGAACCTTAGGGACATAATGGAGAGGTGGAGAGAAGATAAAATGAAGAGGCTTCTTGGATGAAAAGCAAAACATTCTCTGGGGGAAAAACCAAAGTCCAGTTGCTTTTTAGAAAAGCAACTGTGAATTGGATGATTGAGGATCTCCGTAGACAAGATGATCTAGAGTTACTTTCCATGTCCAGAAGATGAAAACTGGGACACGAAATAATAACGCAAGGTGCAGTTTCTTAAAGTTGAGATTAAATATAAAGGAATTTTTCCCAATGTAAACTCTGTGGAACACTGCTTAGGAAAGACTGTGGACTCTCCATTTCTGGTGTTTTTTGTTTTTAAGAAGACAGCCCCCTGGTGAATGGCTGGATTGGCAAGATAAGGCTGGACAAGTTAACCCTTGTCTTTTCATCCATCACATTTTCTATCGTCTCTTGTTAGCATCTGAACAGAACAATGGATAATCCCTTGGTCCTCTCTGTTGGGTTTGGATCACTCGGTCTCCAGATTTAATAGCGGAATAGAGGGGAGCCTTACTTGGCAATAATTATTCCACTGCTTTAAGTATTCGTCAGCGACGATTTCTGATATGGAACGGGCCTGCCGATCACCTTTCTGGAAATCAATTCCTGTTAAAAAAAAAAAAGGGAAAATGATTTAGTTATTGGTGTGCATGTGTCTTTTTAAGTCCAGGATTATGGTAACTATTCTATAATAGAAAGCTATTTATTGTAATAATTGAGATTGGGGATCCCTGGTTCAGAGCCCTTGCTTGTTCCCAGTGGGGAGAAAAACCATGTTGGCATGGAGAAAACAACCCCCTTTTAACGCAACCCAGCCCGAGGGTTGACGAAAAAGGGGCCTGGTGCCATCTGCCTTCCCAGCTATCTTTCATTTCAGCTCTGCACCCCACAAATCGCCCAACCTTGAGGCATTTTGGCTTCCCCGTGGCCTTCTCGTTCCTTCTCTTCCAGCAGTTTGAAGCAGGCTCTGGGGCTGGCCAACAGCAGGCGGAAACCCTGAACGACGGAGTAAGAAAAGAGAGAGTAAGGCAGAGAGGTGGAAACAGTTTACAGGACAGAAAGAGGACTAGCAGCCTAAAATGAACATTTAGTAGCTTAGAAGAAGCTTCGCGCAAGGCAGGACAGTCAGAAGCTGCTGACCGGGCACTTTGATCGCCATAACAGTTTTTTCGTCCATCGCACAGGTGTGGAGAAGGATGGTAAGTTATTTCGGTCTTTTCTCACGTCAAGGTTTTTAGGGAAGAGGTTTCATTCTGTGCTAGAGCCTTGCTCTTTAATCAATTCCAGTTCTTGGTGTCAGGGTTCCGGCTAATGAAACACTTCAAAGAACTTCCAGGCATTGATTTTCCTAAAAGTCTTTTATTTATGACGAAGGGGATACTAAGATCTAAACTCTCTTCCCCTGAGCAATTAATTTACCAGTATGTTCCCTCCCTAAATTTGCTGTCATATATCACTGTTCTCCTATCAGGTGGAAGGGCAAAGGTTCTCTTCACACGTGCAGTTCTATCCTTCTCCTCCCCCTCACCATCATGTGAATTAACTCTGAAAATACCAGACAGTTCTGTATATTTTGTCAAAGCAAGAATATTCAATATTAGCAGCGTTGACACTTGGTCTCTGCAAGTCCTAGAGATTAACAGCTGGATGAAAGATACACCTTGAAAAACAGCCATCTGCTCAAACTTTAGAACAGATTCTTCTGGATAATCCCCTCCTCTGGGGGTTGGACTAGAAGACCTCCAAGGTCCCTTCCCACTGTGTTATTCTGTTATTCCTCGGGTGGCAAAACAGGGTTTCCATTGGAGTTAGAACTTCAGGGAAGCTCCCTAAAAGGGCTCAGAGTTGCAATATAACCAGTGGGTCGTCCCAAAAGTGCTTTTGCAAAAGGCAACTGGACTTTGCTTTTCCTTGGAAGATGTTTCACTTCTCCTCCAAGAAGCTTCTTCAGTTCTATCAGCCGATCTCCGTTCTGCCTTCCGTTCTAAGACCCGTAGTGGCACAGTGGTTACAATGCAGTATTGCGGGCTAATTCTGCCGACTGCCAGCAGTTCGAGTTTCACTGGCTCAAGGTTCACTCAGACTTCCATCCTTCCGAGGTCGGTCAAATGAGGACCCAGATTGTTGGGGGCAAATATGCTGACTCTGTAAACCGCTTAGAGAGGGCCGTAAAGCAGTGTGAAGCGGTATATAAGTCTAAGCTCTATTGCTATTGCTATGAGAAGCCAAAGCCCAGTTGCCTTTTGAAAAAGCACATTTGGGACAACCATAAACCTGGATGATATAACATCCATATACCAATGGGCTGACTTCTACACCTAATAGACCTCCAGGCTCTTAAGAATGGCAAGTTGAAATATTTTGGTAGGCCAGTTTCTTTGAGGGGATGAGCAGGACTAGGATTTCCCTTAACCGAAACGTCTCTGGGTGGTGAATACTGTAAATACAACCGTATTTCACCATAGAGTCTGGTGGAACAGTTTATAGAAGTCTTAGAAGCTGCACCACTGGGTGGAAATGCAGAACGTCAAAAAAAAAGTCTGCCTGCAGCTATTGATCCGCCTCCAAAGCGGCTTTGACACGGTCACTCATTGTGTAAATTGGTCACTGAAAGTTCTTTCAAGTTTGAAAGAAGGATTGGAGCCTATACCTTCCGGTCTGGGGCAGACACGAAGCTCAGGAATTCATCTATGTGTCCCACGTTGAGCCAATCCGTGTAGAGTTCAATGGGAGATTGTACAACTTGACTGTGAAGGAAGTCCTGGACTAGTTTGGACATAGACTCATGAATGTGCCTAAAACAAGAAAAAAGTGGGATCTGAATTCCCATGGTGTGTTAAACCATGATTTGTTAGTGATTGATTCACATCACCTTAAGCCATACAGTACACGTTACAAGATAAGCCACAATGATTAATGTCTTTTATATTGAGTTGACTCAAAACTTCACGTCAGGTGGAATTTGGGCATCAGGGCCGTCTTTGATTAAAGTTTGCATCCAAGCAAGAGATTCTTTCCTTTTTATTCAATCCCTCTTTATCCAATTTACAACCTTTGAAAAATACAACACTTTTTAAGATCTCCGTGACTTTGTTAAAATCTTTTTGTTTTTTGGGAAACTTTTCCCCCCAAGTCTGTTCCTGGGGAGCGTCTTGTTAGGGGAACGATCGAATTTGCTATGCATGTTCCAGCTGACGTTGGTTCTCCAGAACTTCCATATGGGAAGAGTAAACCCAAGGGACTGTTCTGAATTTAAACCACAGATACATGGGAATGTTCTCATGGAGATTCCAGCGTTTCTCCTGTAATCACTTACCTAGGCGGAAGGTTTCCTATTAGGATACGCCCAAGGGGATATTCCTTGTCTTTGACGTTCACCGGAGGGCTGACTTCAAGATTCCCAAATGAATCCAGGCTGGAAGAAGACTGCTCGGAGGATAGTTCCCGTTTTACATACCCAAAATCTGGACCCTTGGGAGGGGGGGAAACCAACAGTTGCATCAAATCAAGCAGCCCTTATTCAATCCTCTTTTTGCCCATGCCCTATTTTTAGGGATTGAGATAAATGCATATACAACTTGATCTAGTCCTCCTGACCTATCCATTTCACCTTTAATGAAGGGGACAGATGGGAGACAATTATGATTTTTATTTTAGTGCAAGTAAAAGTGGAGAATGAAATGCAGAGCTGTGATTTTTCAATAGCCAAGATTAAATGGGAGGGGGGGGGAACCACTTACCAAAACCTTCTTAAAGGGGAAGACATCCAGCGCTCTGTTCCTTGGCGAGTCAAAGACAACTGGAAATGTTTTATGGGGAGCCTGGGTATATCCAAACTCCATCTCATCCTAAATTGACAGAAGAGGTTGAAATAAAATTAAAAGTGTCATCTCTTTATGGTGGGCAACGGATTATAGAAACTTTGATCTCAATCAAAGCCAAATAGAAGGCAAAGCAACTCGGGCTCTTTTATGACTCGTGGACTTCAACTCCCAGAATTCCTCGGCCAGCTTCCATTTTGTTTGTTAGATTTAAGGCAGGGGTCTTCAAACTTGGCTCTTTTATGACTGGTGGACTTCAACTCCCAGAATTCCTGAGCCAGCCATGCTGAGGGGAAAGGGAGAGGTTTCCAAGCTGAGCCAGGCTGGCTCAGGAATTCTGGGAGTTGAAGTCCGCCAGTCATAAAAGAGCCAAGGTTGCCTACCCCTGAACTAGGGGGTTCTTTACTAAAATTACTTTAAAAAAAAGTGTTGTAGATACAGCGGTTACTGCAACACAGAAAAATATGCAGAGCCGTGAATATGCGTAAGAATTTGTATGGCTTTCAGTTGAGCCTTTGATGTTACCACACCAATGGATGTGTGCTCCTAGGAAAGAAATCCCACTTTGCATTGATAAAAAACACTTCCAATTATTTCTGGAGATGTACAGGATAAGAACTATCCCAATTTCTTCTCCACTAGCATCGGGATCTCATTTGGCAGACCACCTGTCCAATATGGCCTATAGTTTGTGACCTACCTGGATCCATCTGTCATTGCGATTTTCCTCTTCTGGACAGACAATAAATTTGCATCCAGCTTCAGTGGCAAGCTTCCTTACACGTTCCACAAAATCCATATTATCATGAACACTGTATATTCAGAGGAACAGGTGGAGATGTTAGAGAAAATAAATAGAGGAGAGAAAAGGGCTTGGATGTTCACCAAACTTGATGGTGGGTGTACAGAAAGCTTCATACATGTATGTTGGTCCATGACTCCTTACCTGCAGATATAAACAGAAACTGGCTGCAAGGTGTTTGGGGTCATAATCCATGGAGCGACCCGGAAGACCACAGTATCAGTGAAAATGGAAGGTTCTGGGACCCTCTGAAGCAAGAAAATACAGGAGAAAAGAACCAAGAAATTACATTGGATTTCAGAAAGATGCATTTAAACATATAAAAGTTACAAGATTTAGGACAAGGGTCTTCAAACTTTGCCCTTTTAGGATTCGTGGACTTCAACTCCCAGAATTCCTCAGCCAGGCACGCGTGCCTGGCTGAGGAATTCTGGAAGTCCTAAAAGGGCCAAGTTTGAAGACCCCCGATTTAGGAGTACAGAGCTAACCTTGAATTAAAAAACAGACACATTCTCTTTAGTCCAGGAAAAGGAAGAGGTTAAGAAAGAAGGTCACGATAATGCCACCTTGATCCTCTTTACTATCACAGGCTAAAGGAAATGGAAGATTTCAAGATTCTGTTAGTATACTCTACAATAATAAAATAGAATTCTTGTAGTTTTCTGGAGTCTGTTTCCTGACCTGCCTTCTCTTGAGTAGCCGATAAATGAAGAAGAAGTGGAGAAGGTCCTAGAGAGAGGACCTGGGATGAAGATTGAAAAAGCATTCCAGGTGCTTTCTCTGTTTCCCTGTCAAAGGGGCTTCCCTCTCTCTCTCCCCCATGTTCTCTTTGGTGTTCTCCATACCTTCCCGGTCTCCAGGAGCGAAGCGTGGAAAGTGACAAGCCCTGGGAAGTCAATGTCTGGGAATTTCAGCCCTTCCACGTAGAAAATGCCCTCCACTTGACGAAGGTCCCATTTCACATGGTAGGATGTCTTTCCGGGTCCTAGAACGTGTTCGTAAGGTCTCTGCGCCTTCTTGGCTGTGAATCAAAACCCAAATCTGTTTTATTCGTTTCTTTTATTTATTGGAAGCAAATATATATACCTTTATCCAGATCTATGCAGTTTTAAGCAATCTGAGGAGAATAGAATAGAATAGAACAACAGAACAGAATAATAGAATAGAATGCAGAATACAACAACAGAATAGATTAGAATATAACAGAATAGATTAGAATGCAGAATAGAACAGAAGAATGGAATAGAATAGAATAGAATAGAATAGAATAGAATAGAATAGAATAGAGCTGGAAGGGACCTTGAAGGTCTTCTAGTCCAGCCCCCTGCTCATGCAGGAGAACCTATACCATAATTAAACCCAAGCACGTGAACCCTTTGAGATCCGAAGGAACTTGTGGTTGGCTATCATTGGTGACCAGAGAGCTGGTCAAACTTTTGATCTGTCATAACAAAATTATGGACCTCCTTTTTGGTGCGGGACAAGGAAGATAGATATCGGCTTGATCCTCTTGAAAATGCTCCCTTGTTTTCTCTAGGTGAGGAGCATAAAAAGGAAAACTAGACACCATGGTTGCTTAGAGAATCTAGAATAAGCATTCTCTTTTTGGGTCTTCACTTCATCCACCTTCAGCTTCAGTCCTAAAGCCCAACGGCCTGCTGGCCTTCAACACTTACCTTGAGGGTAGAAGACCCCCACTTTGTCACAATCCGCCTCTGAGATATGAAGAGTCAGCTTGTATATTTTGAAAATTTCATTAGGCCCCCGAGCGGTCAGGATCATACGGGACATGTCCTCGAGATCTAAAAGGAGAATCCATTCAACTCCAGTTGAGCCAGAAACTCTTGACTTGTAGCTTCACACTTTCATTGACCATAATCTGGCCTTAGTTTGGTGGGTGACCTCAACCATTCATAACCTATTCCCAATTTCTTATGTGTCAGGTCGTGTGACCCTGGGGGTGTGGCATGACCACTTACGATAACTTTGGGGTAGTCTACGGGCAATAAAGCAATCTTGAGGACGAACGGTACTTCACCACTGTGTACTTCCGTTGCAACACTGTGCTTTTACAGATTGTGCATGTTGGAAGTCCACCCCTCTTAAAAGTTTCTGAGGTGGAGAAAAACTGCCCTTACCATTAGTGCTGCCTACCTACCTTCCTTGGATGTCAAGATGTTGTCCTTGTTGTCTTCCTCTTCAGCTGTAGGGTTGTCTCGGTCACAATTCACCAAGAGAATGGCGCCTTTTCCACCAGGCCCCCATGTCCACTGATCCTGCAGGGACAGGGACCCTGATGTCAGGATGGACATCAGCAAAAGTGGGGTCCCTCTTTGGGTCTGCCTTCTCCCCCCCCCCCAGCCAGGATCTGTTCCTCGTCTCAGTGTAGAAGCAGCATCTGCTTCCCAGTTGATCCAGCTACAATTTCATTTATTATGTATTTGTTCATTACGTTTATAGGATTGTAATTAGCCGAGTGAGTTCATTATAGCACCTGCCCAACCAGGTGTGACCCAGATGTGTTAGCAAGTCCGGTCCTCCATTGCCAGCAGGAGAAATAAAACCATCAGCTCCCCAAGCACTCTGTTCGCATTATGTTACATATATTTTCCTCCCCGTCATTCTGCTTGAAAAAAAAAATCTTATTTCAACCTTTTGATTCCCTCTTCTGGTCACCGTTCCCGAACGGTTTATATCCGCATCCAAGGACATTTCTGCAGCGGGAAAACAAAGGTTGTGTGTGTGTGTGTGTGTGTGTAAAACAAAGACACTTTTCATTATTCCCGTTCAAAGCCTCTGCTTGCATCCCAGTCTCATTTTTCTGCGAGAAAAGTATATTTCGGGCCATTTTAGGTAGGCATCTCCTTTTTCCCCTGCTTAATCCAAGTCTGATCTGGGCAGGGTTTGCCTATCCAGATGTGTTGAGATACAGCCCCCCCCCCAATTCACCTTTTGGGCCGTGCCACACCTCCCCACCCCTGCCAGCTTACCTATGCAGGTAATATGCAGAATCGCTTTGGCAATTGGGGCCTTGCTGTTAGCTTCATAGTACGAAACGCTGATCTGCAATTATACCATCAAATAATAAATTTAAGTCAAAGGATATTGGGGAATGGCACCCCTTAAAAACCTCCCTCTCTAACACACCTCTGTTTTCAACTGGATAACATATCAGGGTGCCTGTCCACAAAGGAACCTTTAATTGGGAAATTTCTAATTTGCTTCGTGGTGGATAAATAGCAGTAGCATTTAGACTTATATACTGCTTCACAGTGCTTTACAGCCCCCTCTAAGCGGTTTATAGAGTCAGCATATTTGGCCCCCAACAATCTGGGTCCTCATTTTACCAACCACAGAAGGATGGAAAGCTGAGTCAACCCTGAGCCGGTCAGGATCGAACTTCTGGCAGTGGGCAGAATTAGCCTGCAATGCTGCATTTTAACCACGGCTCTAATAAACCTTACCCTGCATTTTTGTCTCACTTGGGTTTTGAAACAATTGTCCTTTTCTAAAGGAGGTGAGTTTGAGAACCCACCCAATGGATTCATTTTTTGTCTCCCTGGCTATAATTCTCCACTGTTTTCTGTTTAAGCCCCTTTTGATTTCCATCTAGTGCAATATCTGAGCTTCATAAACCAGGCTTATTGCTGAGCTTATGATGATGAATAACAAAGTTGGAAGGGACCTTGGAGGTCTTCTAGTCTAACCTCCTGCTCTAGACCCTATACCATTCCAGACAAATGGCTGTCCGGTCTCTTATTAAAACACCTCCAGTGTTGGAGCGCCCACAGCTTCTGCAGGCAAGTCGTTCCGCCGGTTTATGTATGATGATTTTGTTCAGGAAATCGTTTTTAGGTGTAAACGAGGCCTACAAATCCCAGGACCTGTTGGAGATGAGAAGCAATCTTTGGCCAACGTTTCTATCCTCACCTTTTTGTCATTGACTTCGGCGCTTCGGGCATCCATGGTGGCGGTGATCTTGACCTGCTTGTCCAGCGGCCATTTCGAGCCCTGGCAGGAGACCTTCGGTTTTGTCATTTGTTCAGCGTAGACCTTCAGGTCCTGGCTCGCCTCAATCGCAAAGCAGGTCGCAGCCCTTGGGGCTTCTCTGAAAGACAGACGCCGTTCGTTGAAAAACACTTCCCATTTAAGACATAAAACAGATCAAGCTATGCAGCTTCTTCCCTGCTTCCCCTTATTGCCATCTGCCCCAAGAATAGTTAATAATAATAATGAAGTTGGAAGGGACCTTGGAGGTCATCTAGTCCAACCCCCTGCTCAGGCAGGAAACCCTATACCATTTCAGACAAATGGCTGTCCAGTCTGCTTCCAGCGTTGGAGCATTCACCGCTTCTGGAGGCAGGTTTTTCCACTGATTAATTGTTCTAACTGTCAGGAAGTTTCTCCTTAGTTCCAGGTTGCTTCTCTCCTTGGTTAGTTTCCATCCGTTGCTTCTTGTCCAGCCTTCAGGGGCTTTGGAGAATAGCTTGACTGCCTCTTCTTTGGGGCAGCCCTTGAGATATTGGAAAACTGCTATCATGTCCCCCCTCGTCCTTCTCTTCATTAAACTAGACATACCCAATTCCAGCAACCGTTCTTCATATGTTTTAGCCTCCAGTCCCCTGGTCCTCTTTGTTGCTCTTCTCTGTACTCTTTCTAGAGTCTCAACATCTTTTTTACATCGCGGTGACCAAAACTGGATGCCGTATTCCAAGTGTGGTCTTACCAAAGCATTGTAAAGTAGTATTAACACTTCACATGATCTTGATTCTATCCCTCTGTTAATGCAGCCTAGCACTGTTGTTTGGTTGCCAAACCTCCACATAAACATGGGTGAGATCTGACTCCTAACGTCCAAGATATTTTTTGACGGAAAGAATAATCCCTCTAAAATAGCATAGCAAATTCTGCCGTTGGCTAACTGCAGCCAGCCAAAAACTGGGAATCTACCCCCAGTGAATTTGGCAATGGAAAACTGGCTTCCAAAATGCTTTTTTTGGCCACCCCTGGGACATTTAAGCACTGAAAACAGCGTGTGTTTCTAACTTAACTTTCCCATTACCTGGTTCAGGTAAATTCCACCAACAATCCCAATTAACAGTTATTTTAAACTGGGAATACTTGCTGATGTCCATGGAGATTTTCAGTCCTCCAGGTCAGATGTTCTTTCCAAAAGGCAACTGGACTTTCTGGGTGTCTTTTTTGAAAACGTTTTCGTTAAGATGCTTCTTGGACGAGAAACGAAACTTTTTCAAAGAAAACACCAAGAAAGTTCAATTGCCTTTTGGAAAAGACTTTTGAGACAATGTGAAGATGCTGTGATGGGGAAGTGTTGAGCATCGATGCAGGAAGACCAGAAGATCTCTGGATAATTGTGCATATATTTTTATCTTTTGCATTGGAAGCTGGTGAAAACATGGCCGTGTAGAAGCACACACTGGGTGAGAAGGATTAACACATTCAGTCTGCATTTATCTGTCCCTTTTTATTGTCTGTTTCCTACTTTGTCTGTCTTCTTTCTCCACATTTAGTCCCCTTTTAATCCAAATTTAGTTCTACGGTTTAGGTTTAATGAAGCAGTTCACCAGGTTTTTCTGCTCGGTGCATGGTCAAAAAACAAAGGCAGAAAGAGGAACTATAAACCTGTTTTTTAAGAGGGCCTTTTAGAGTCTGCTGCTCCCTGTAAATCAATTGGGAATGTCTAGTTTAAGGAAGAGAAGGACGAGGGGGGACATGATAGCAGTCTTCCAATATCTCAGGGGCAGCCCCAAAGAAGAGGGAGTCAAGCTATTTTCCAAAGCGCCTGAAGGCAGGACAAGAAGCAAGGGATGGAAACTAATCAAGGAGAGAAGCAACGGAGAACTAAGGAGAAACTTTCTGACAGTGAGAACAATTAATCAGTGGAACTCCTTGCCTCCAGAAGCTGTGAGTGCTACAACACTGGAAGTTTTTAAGAAGAGACTGAACAGCCATTTGTCCGAAATGGTATAGGGTTTCCTGCCTGAGCAGGGGGTTGGACTAGATGACCTCCAAGGTCCCTTCCAACTTCTTCTTCTTCTTCTTCTGATGATGATGATGATGATGATTATGATTATGATTATGATTATTATGATTATTATCTTAAGACCCTCACATTCCCAAGAGTTTTGTGAGAATGGCATCTTGGAGCCCACTCAACAATTCCAAGAGTTTTTTAAGTATACGTGGACTTGGCAAGGATTGTGCTGCGTTCACACATGAGCTGACAACAGATTGGCAGATCCTTCTCCATCTACCTGCACCCAGGTTTTCTCACACCCTCCTCTGATTCTGTTTTGCGCTTAGCGTTTCCAAGGTGTGCCACACTCTCATGGGCTGATCACAGCCAATGTTTATTCAGCGTATGTGTGCACACACAACGTTCACCGCTGCTGCAACCACAAAAACCCCTTAATCCTGACAGGTGTTGCTTTAATAAATCATGATAATTACAGTAACCACAGAGAACAGCATTGTGGGTTTTTTTAATAGAAAGAGGAAGAACTTAAATATTCATCGGTTTTGCTATGATTCCCATCCAAGTTTGAGATAAGTAATTGAATAACTAGGACAGTGGTTCTTGACCTCTGGTCCATGGACCCTGGGAGGGGGGCACAATGTCACAGCGGGTTTGCGAAGGCTTGAATAAATATTATGATTTAAGTCTTAAGTCTTGGGGTCTGTGGCCATGATCCATGGCCACAAAGGGTATTTAAAGGGGGTCCATGCTGGAGAAAAAGTTGAGAACCTCTGACCTAGGATATTTTAGGACAAAGTCTGTGGCTTTTACCTCCTCAGTGATCCAGGAAAAATCACAATCTTTGCAGAATAAGCCCTGCAAATCTAATTTCTGCTCTCGGGACAAAATCTTTTGGGATGGTAGGAAGGAAAAGGTTGATGCTAAACTTTTATAAAGTTCTGTTTTGTTTTTTTAAAGATGCTTTGAGCGGATGGCTTTTTGCCTTGTCTTTCAAAGGCAGGGAAGGACTGCGCAGAGAGAACGAAGGAAGGCGCTCCCGAACGTGATGGATTTGTGTTGCCATCGGTTCTGGATGGAAGTTCAGCATAGCCCTTCCCTTCCTCGGTGAGACCAAGCAATTTTTTCTGCTGCCTGTCAGCAGTTCAGGAACACCTTGAGATAAGCAAAACAAATGACAGCATTGTCCATTACCTTTGCAGATTACCTGATGCGAGAACTTCCTTGCAAACACCAGAGGGAACGTTCAGAAATCTGGGCATCGTTTTTTTTTTGAGGTACCTCACTCACCTGTAAAGATGCTTTCGGGCTATTTAGCGAACCCCCTTTCCATCCCCCCCCCCGGCAACTAATAATTGTGCAATGAAAACACACACCCATATGCCACGGAAAAAAAAATTTTCTGGGCTAAATTTCAGCTGCAGGCGAAACTGAAAGCATCTTTTTAAGTTCTCCTTTTCTTCTGCAAATCAAAAAAATGTTAAATAAGAGGAATGTTCAGATGCTTACCCATAGATGTCCAGGCAAAGTTCAGTGCCCAGAATGTGGACAGTGCTGGTAACCTCTTTCGTGGAAAGCTGGACACACTTCTGTTCAGCCATTTTTGGTGGAATTTTTTTTCCCTGTCTTCCAGGGGGTTTTGCTGGCCTTGGAATAAACATCCCTGCATTGGAGGGAGAGATTTTAAAGGGGAAAGGGTGGGGTGGGTACCTGCTCAGTCTCTCCACCCTGCCATCTGATAGGCTGGTGCACACCCTAATCCCGCCTTCTGGGCTCAGATGGCTGATTTGGGAGCTAACATCCCATGTGCTCAGCAAAAAAGAGTTATCAGCAAAAAGAATTATCGGAAGAGGAAGTAGCCAGAAGGCGTGGAGACTTCTTAGAAAGTAATCCAACTCTTGGCTGAGACAGGTTTATTTATTTAGATTTGATTCCTATAGCTGCCCATCTCGGCATAAGACTCTGGGAAGCTCCCGATTCAGAAACGTAGGTTAGAATTAAAATCTTTAAAACATTTTAAAACAATAAAAAACAGTAAAAGCCAATAGTCACGACAGTCACGACATAAGCCTAAGACTGAAAATCAGGCTTGTCAGATGCTATATTTTTTTCTATCCTGCTCTATGGAGTAGAGAGCTGGTCTCTGACAGAAGGCCACCTGAAGAGACTAGAAGCATTTGAATTTGTGGATTTACAGGCGGCTGTTACGTAGAATCTGGGTTGACAAGGTCAGAAATGAGGAGGTGATAAGCCGCCTGGGAAAGCCAAGGGAAATCATCAAAACCATTAAAAAACGAAAATTAGAATATTTCAGACATGTGAAGCGACACCCAGAAAAATACGGCATACTCCATTTAATCCTCCAGGGAAAGATTGAAGGCAAACGAGGTCCAGGCAGAAGAAGAACATCGTGGCTTCAAAATCTAAGGGACCTGTTTGGACAAAACTCAGCAGCACTTTTTTGTGCGGCTGCTGATAAAAACAGGATCACCAACATGATCGTCCGATAACGGATATGGAAGAAGAAGAAGGAGAAGGAGAAGGAGAAGGAGAAGGAGAAGAAGAAGAAGAAGAAGAAGAAGAAGAAGAAGAAGAAGAAGAAGAAGAAGAAGAAGAAGAAGAAGAAGATGATTAGAATTAAAAATTTTTAAACATTTTAAAACAATAAAAAACAGTAAAATCCCATAACACACACACACACAAACCCCCTACTAAAACATCTAATCCTTCAGTGCCAAATTGTAAAGATTTGTCTTTTCTAGTTGGAACGAAATAAGCCACGAACTTGACCTGCATCTTTAGCAGAGATCCAGACATTCAGGGCAGTGATTTATCTGGACAACTTGAGATCCGCAGAAGATATGTTTGAAAACAGACAAGTATCTCCCTGCTCTGCAATAAAAGAGATTTTAGGAGGCCTGCAAATAGGAGTCGCCAAATACTGCATCTTTATTTGCCTGTTCAGTTCCCAGAGGTATGTTTGTATTTGAAGTGAAGGATAATGAACTTGCTTTTTTAAACACAGCACAGTTTAGAAGCCAAGCATAGATTTTGGGCAGATGTGGAGCAAAGAAGCTTGCCATCTTAAATTGATGAAGGAAGTTTAGGTCCTTCCATCTGGGAGAATCAGATTTAGCTTAGACACCAAAAAAGAAGAGTTTAATTGAATAAGAAGTTTAGTTTCAGCACACAAGGAATATTTGAGACGGGTGACGATCCAATAAATACCCCTGTCTTATTTATCCAATATTCCTGGTACAGTTTAGCAATGGAGTCCCCATCAAACCAAGGAATCCTGTTGTTTTTTAAAAAAAGCTGAGCCATATTTTCTTGCCCAATTCAGTGAAAGGGGAAAAAATCTGTTTACAGTGCATAATCCACTCCCACCGATGGGCATTTCTGTTCAGCCAAAAAGGAATTCCAACATCAATAAAGACCAGAAATTGATAAAGGACAATTTACAGATTAAAAAAAAATATTCTCCTAAGTTTATGACATGCCAAGAAGACAGAGGTCATGGGGAAAAAGGCATAAAATAAATGGTTTTGCAATTTTGTGGACCAGATTATGCTTTCATCAGAGGACCCAAATGTTCTGTTCATTGAACAATTACAGAATCATGGGGCTGTTTAGCATACATGAATAGTTAAGTGCAGGTAATCCTTATTTAATGACTGTTGAAAGTTATAAACCGCCCTGCAAAAAAATCACTTAAGACCATTTTTTACATCTAGGACTCTTGCAGTATCCATAGGCGCTTTGGTCAAGTGATGAAAATTCAGATTCTTAGCAACTGACTCCTAGTTATGACGGTTGCAGTGTCCTGGAGTCATGTGATCCCCTTTTGCGACCTTCGGCTAAACAAAGCCAATTGGGGAGGCCAGATCCACTTAACAACTGCGTAACTAGCTTAATCACTGCAGTGATTCACTTAACAACTGGCAAAAGAGGTCCTAAAGTGGGGCAAACATCTCACTTAGCTCCAGAAATTTTGGGCTCAACTGCGGTTGTCAAGGGCTACCTGTAATACAAGCACACAGACAAATGTTTTGACAATTACACTAATGCTTGAAGGTGTTGAATGTACACCCAGGGTCCCTTTCCAACAGCCTTCATGAGTGACGATGCAATTTGCCAGCTTCTGTTAAGCCAATTAGCACCTTTTATGAGATAAAACAAAAATTATCCCTCCTTAAGCCGGAGGTGGCCGTTTTAAAAGGCTGCCTTTGTTTTGAAGCTTTTGATCTTCCCCTTCAGTTCATCTTTGGGAGAGACAGATGATGTCTGCCTTCCTCTGATTGGTCTCTTCTGGAGATTAGATTTATCTTTGTTTATTCTTCCCTAAGAAAGAGAGAAGCAGTTAAGATTGGACTGATGGAACCTTGTGTAAGTTTGTCAATTTTCTGTCTCAAAGTGACTTAGGAGTGAATAGTGCGCTGCTCATAAACCCCATCATCCATCATCTGTTTCTCCCCACATAGTCCTAGTTGTTCTCACAACCAGGAGAAGCCAGGACCTGCAGTGGAGATGTGAAGATAGGAGGCCAGCTTGACTCTTCCAAGACCTTGATAGACCATCCTGCATGGAGTTGTCTACTTAAAAAAACTCTTGGAATTGTTGTGTGGGCTCCAAGATGCCATACTCACAAAACTCTTGGGAATGAGATGGTCTTAAGATGATTTACAGGGGGGGCAGCAGACTCTAAAAGCTCTCTTGAAAAACAGGTTTAATAGTTCCTCTTTCCGCCTTTGTTTTTTGACCAAGCACCGAGCAGAAAAACCTGGTGAACTGCTTTATTAAACCTTAGAACTAAATTTGGATTAGAAGGGGACTAAACGTGGAGAAAGAAGACAGACAAAGTAGGAAACGGACAATAAAAAGGGACAGCTAAATGCAGACTGAATGTGTTAATCCTTCTCACCCAGTGTGTGTGCTTCAACACTGCTGTGTTTTCACCGGCTTCTGATGCAAAAGATAAAAATATATGCACAATTATCCAGAGATCTTCTGGTTTTCCTGCATCGATGGTCAACACTTCCCCATCACAGTATCTTCACATTGTCTCAGAAGTGCTTTTTCCAAAAGGCAATTGAACTTTCTTGGTGTTTTCTTTGAAAACGTTTCGCTTCTCCTCCAAGAAGCTTCTTCCGCTCTGATCCAGCTCTTGTTGGATGAGAAGCCAAACGTCTTCAAAAAAAAACCAAAATACAAGGTCCAGTTGCCTCCTGAAAAAAAGCACCTTTGGGACAACCACGACCTGGATGACTGAGAATCCCCATAGACATCTTATGATTATGAATTTCACAACCATAGTTACCCAGGGTCCTTAGCCCCATTATTAATAATGATAAAGTTGGAAGGGACCTTGAAGGTCATCTAGTCCAACCCCCTGCTCAGGCAGGAAACCCTATACCATTTCGGACAAATGGCTGTCCAGTCTCTTCTTAAAAACTTCCAGTGTTGGAGCATTTACAGCTTCTGGAGGCAGGTTGTTCCACTGGTTAATTGTTCTAACTGTCAGGAAGTTTCTCCTTAGTTCTAGGTTGCTTCTCTCCTTGATTAATTTCCATCCATTGCTTCTCGTCCTGCCTTCAGGCGCTTTGGAAAATAGCTTGACTCCCTCTTCTTTGGGGCAGCCCCTGAGATATTGGAACACTGCTATCCTGTCCCCCCTCGTCCTTCTCTTCATTAAACTAGACATACCCAATTCCAGCAGCCGTTCCTTATATGCTTTAGCCTCCAGTCCCCTAATCATCTTTGTTGCTCTTCTCTGCACTCTTTCTAGAGTCTCAACATCTTTTTTACATCGTGGTGACCAAAACTGGATGCACTATTCCAAGTGTGGCCTTACCAAGGCCTTGTAAAGTGGTATTAACACTTCACGTGATCTTGATTCTATCCCTCTGTTAATGCAGCCTAGCACTGTGTTGGCCTTTTTGGCAGCTGCAGCACACGGCTGGCTCCTATTTAAATGATTGTCCACTAGGACTCCGAGGTCCCTCTCACAGTTACTACTATTAATTAAGGTATATAAAGCTAAGGTTACCACTATGCTCTTGTATGGAGCAGAAGTTTGGGGTCTCTACTCAACCACAGTCTTAGAACAAACACAGTCCCAGCATTTGAGATGTATTCTGGGTGTAGATCCAAGAACACCTGCTGCAGCAGTTAGAGCTGAATTGGGAATTCATACAATTCATGCTCTATCCAAAATGAGAGCTTATAACTACTGGTGCAAAGTCAATGAAATGGAGACTGATAGACTCCCCAAGTTATGTCTACTAGAGCAAATAAAATTACAACCACAAATCTCCTGGGTCACCAAACCTAACAAATTTTGTAAGAAGCTGTGGTCTTCCTATCTTTTGCGTAACATGAGAACAATTCAAAAAAAGGGCTGCCCAAAGAATTAAGGATATAGAAGCACAAAATGATGTAGTGATCCTTAGTAAGGTGGGTAACTTGAAATGGCTGAGTAAATACAAGCGTACTTTTCAAGTAGACAGCTATTTGAAGTTACAACTGCCAAAACACCTTAGGGAGGTATTTACGCAAGCGAGATTCGAACAGCTTGACACAATGGTCAGATATGGGAGATTCCATTCTATACCTTACAATGAGCGTCTCTGCATTTGCGGAGCGGCAGAGGTAGAAGACCTGGCTCACATCCTATTTGATTGTTGCCTGTACAAGAGGGTGGGAGACAGGTACCTCGGTCTATATACCAAACAAATGACTCATTGGGATCCCCATATCAAAACAACTTACCTTATGTGCGGCCAGAACTTGAAAATAACATTTAACGCAGCACAATATTTAAACAAAATGGTTCGGTTGAGATCTGCCTATGTGGGACTGATTGGGGTAGATTGCAAGGGTGACTCCCAAGATGTAATTTTATCATATTTTATCTATATTTTAAATTACTGTACTCTATTTTAATTTCATTTTACTCTAATTTCATTTTAAGTCGTATTTTACTCTAGTTTCATTTTAAACTGTATTTTATCAAAGTTCATTTTAAATTGCTTTTATCAAACTTTCCTAATGTTTTGTTGCTGGAACTTTGCACTTTGATATGGCGCAAGGGCTAATCAATAAAGATGATGATGATGATGATGATGATTATTATTATTATTATGAATTTCGCAGATTTACCGTGCGGAAACAGATATTTATTTTTCCAATCAGCTTGGTGGGATGACCCTGACTTTGACCTTTTGGCAGGGGAGAGGACAACTTTTTCCAGAACCTCTTGATCAAAGCCAAGCGTGATTTTATAGACCTTGGTCAGGGCTACTTTTTATTTGCTTTTGTCCCATGTGGAGTGTTCCTGTCAGTGGCACTCCATGGACTAATGAGTCACGCTTAACCTGATTAAGGTGTGCTCTGTTAATTAAACAATCTCCTTTCCTGCTCATTGTGTGTGCCACTTTGGATGTGAGCCATACTTTATGAGCGAATGGACCTTGCAGAGTTTCATTCACCCCATAAAAACATGGGGTGGGGGCCTTGCATCTCTGCACACACACCCCCGGCTAGATTTGAAGGGGTTAAGTCCAAAGCATCTCTGCTTAAGCACAGAGGCCTGCAGTTTCTCCTTTTCATGGGGATCTGTCATTGCTTTGGGGAATCTTCTAAGCCAACCTGGGATTCACAGACAGCTGATCCTAAACTTATAGCTTCAATTGCGATTAGAATTTTACCGCAGTCCTTAAGTGAATCGTGCCGTCATTAAGCAAATCTGCCCTCCAACATTGACTGCTTGATGGAAAGCTGCCTGGCAATAACATGACCTCTGCAACTGTTGTAAATTCTCTCCAGTTGCCAAGCGCCAGAAGTTTAATCATGCTTGCAACGGTCGCAACTGCAAGGACCGGTCACAAGACATTTATTTCAGTGCCACTGTAACTCTGAACGGTTGCTAAACGAACAGTGATAAATCAAGGACAAGCTGCACGGTATGAACTCTGTCACCATATATTGTTTACTTATTGTCCCTGGTGAGAAGCTTTTCTGATGTATTGAATCGTGAAGGATTTCACGTAATGTCACCGAGGGTGCCTCTTGCTAAGGAGATTTCAGTGGCAAAGCCCCCATGACCCTCATTTCGAAGGAAAAATGGAGCACACCAACACTTCCTCTTGAGTGGTGCTGATGAAAGTCACCGAAGCTGCAAAGAAATCAGCTTGCACAACCGAACAGGAGACAAATTTCATAATGCACGTTTTTATTTTGCATTCCTGGCTGAGGTCACGGTCCCATCTCAGTCCCAATGTTCAGAAGGATTCCCGTCCTTCTCTTTTTGGGCGAGATCCTCACCTGATTTTTTTTGCAGCTTGTCCTTCATCGCTCTACTCTTAGCCTCTAAATCTACCTCTAACTAGCGGTGGACCACAACTGTCCCCCTTCCCACATGCAAATTCTGCCAAGTAAACAAACTTCGGGCTGGATTTGCATCTGTTTAGAACCCCGGATTAGCAACTTAAAATGACAAACGTTTGCAAGATTGACAAGTGCCTCTTTCCTCCTTCAAAACGTTGGGAAGTCAATTTAGGTCAGCCTTCATACAATGAATAAATATTTCTGGCTCCTTACACGGAGAAGAGACAGCAGTTCCTCGTGGTTTTATCCACAAGCTCCTGGTGATCCCTTTTGAGTAATTCCCACTGAAAATGTAAACACATTTGGCTTTTCCTGGTGATTTCTTCTTCTCTGGCTGGTTTCTCCAGAGGCAGAAAGCCGGACAAATGTATCTAATGTGTGCTGTCTTGCGTTCCCTTGCATGGTTAGCTGTGAGGGCCTTGGGTTTTCAGAGACACCAAAATGAAACAAAATTCGGGAAGGTGCTGAGAAATTATCTCTGGAAAAGGTTCTCTTTCTCCTTCCGACGATTTCCCATGCTGTTGCTTCTCTCCAGCCTCGGAGACAAAGGTGCTGAGAAAATTAAGTCTGAGTTAACAGCGTGGTTTGTTCACGGAAGGATATTCCACCAGTGAAAAGAAAAACGTTCCCGCTGGACGTTGGTGCCACAGTGGACTTCTCCGGACAAGACGTGGTAGGAGAAAAAGTCATCAATGAACGTGCAGGAGAGGCCCAGTGGCTCCAGGAGGGAGCGGACATTCGCTTCCAAGCAACACTGGCCGTGGATGATGGGTCCATATGGCTTGGGAATGCCCAGGTATTTTCCTAAGACGAGCATATTGACCTGCAGAGAAGAGGACAAAAGATTGAGCTGACTTCTCGTCCATCTCTGTCTTCCAAGCAGAATAACACGAGTTAGAAGGGACCGTGGAGATCTTCTAATCTAACCCTCTGTTTAAGGAAGAAACCCTGGACCATTTCAGACAAATATGTTGTTAAAAGCCTCCAGTGTTGGAGCATCCACAACTTCTGGAGGCAAGCCGTTCCACTGATGAATTGTTTTAACTGTCACCCACAACTTCTAGAGTTAAGCCTAATTGTCCTCACTGTCAGGAAATTTCTGCTTAGTTCTAGGTTGCTTCTCTCCTTGGTTGGTTTCCATCCATTGCTTCTTGTCCTGCCTTCAGGGGCTTTGGAGAATAACTTGACTCCCTCTTCTTTGGGGCAGCCCCTAAGATATTGGAAGACTTGCTATCCTGTCCCCCCTGGTCCTTCTCTTCATTAAACTAGACATACCCAATTCCAGCAACCGTTCCTTATATGCTTTAGCCTCCAGTCCCCTAATCATCTTTGTCGCTCTTCTCTGCGCTCTTTCCAGAGTCTCAACATCTTTGTTTAATACTGTAGCGACCAAAACTGGATGCAATATTCCAAGTATGGTCTTAACCAAGGTATTATAAAGCGGTATTAACACTTCACGTGATTTTGATTCAATCCCTCTGTTAATGCAGTCTAGGATTGTGTTGGCTTTTTTGGCAGCTGCAGCACACGTCTGGCTCCTATTTAAGTGATTGTTACATCAACACCCAACACTTCCCTTCATTCAGTTTTGGAAGGAACCTTTTTTTGGCCCAGAATTGAGTAAAATGGTTGTCACCCCCCATGTCTGTGTCTCTGCTAAAGGGTTTAAATCTAAGCTTCCCTTTTTTGAGTCAACAGGAATTAGCCTTCACGATTAGAACCGTGGCTTGGGGGTAACTGTGCTGGTTGGCCATCGTCTTCATTGTTAACCTTCCACCCCATGTAATTTTTTTTTAAGAAAAACCCCCTTTTGGCCACTACCCATTCAACATAACAACATTGAATGCAATCTTTAAAAACTAGGATAAGAAAATTAGGAAATGTTCCAGTTTCTCCCTTTTACAGATGGAAACTGTGCTAGATTATAAATCTCTGCTGTTCTCTCCAGGGACAAACGAAAAACAGCCTTGGGTGTTGGCTCAGCCCCATGGGATGCTCTGAAGGGATCCTGCTTTGGAAAGACCAATGGGAAGGAGTCTCTCTCTCACCATGTCTGGGAACAAGGCTGACGCGGTGGATCCTTCCAGAGTGAAGAGCTGGGGTATGTCAATGATGTCTCGTTCAGTCAATCCGAGTTCCCGCTTTAAAATACTCCGGTTCCAGTCAATGCAACTCTGGGAAGAGGAACCACAAGGACAAGGTGTGTGATGCAAGTGGGTTCCCATCAGGTTGAAGTGGGGGAGGTCTCCCAACTTGAAGACTTGTGGACTTTAACTCCCAGAATTCATAACTGGCTGGGGAATTCTGGGAGTTGAAGTCCACGAGTCTTAAAAGTTGCCAAGTTTGGGTTAAAGGTTTAATTCATGTTACCTGTCTTGAAGGCACTTTGATACCTATGACTTGGCGCCTATCTCATCGTTGTCCTGAGTTTAGTGTCCAAGTAATGGAACAAGGTAGTCCTTGATTTATGACCACAACTGAGCCCAAAATATCTGTTGCTAATTGAGGCAATTGTTAAGCAAATTATGTCCCATTTTATGACGTTTCTCGCCACAGTTGCTAAGTGAATCACTGCAGTCCTTAATTTAGTAACACAGTTGTTCAGTGAATCTGGGCTTCCCCCGTTGGCTTTGCTTGTCAGAAGGCCGCAAAGGGGGATCACGTGACCCCGGGACACGGCGACCGTCATAAATATGAGTCAGTTGCCAAGTGTCTGAATTTTGCTCACGTGACCCTGGGGATACTGCAATGGTCGTAAGTGTGAAAAACAGTCCTAGGTCAGTTGTAATGTCAACGCTGCTAACATCGGATGTTTTTGTATTGACAACAAATGGATGGAAATGTAGCCATCTTTTACCTTTTGCTTTTAGATAATGCTGGGAGGAGGGATGTGAGCGAGAGTCCAGCTAGATAGAACAACACTAAACCTAATGTGAGAAACAAGGTTATTGTAACCAGAGCGGATAAGGAATTGAGGGACGGGAGAACTGGAGAGGAGGGCCGCGTGTCAAGCTAATTGGGGAATGTGATTTATGACTGTTAATTGAAGGAGGGAATTGTGCGTTGATACTATGTGCCCAGGGGAGGGGAATTCAGTTTTTGGCTTCGATTATGCAGTGCCGATATTATGCTACTCAAAATAAAGATTCTTTAAGGTAAACAATGCCTCGAAGTTCTTTTGAAGGGTTTCGTCTGTCGGAACCATGACATGTAACTTCAAATGATCACTGAATGAATTCTTGTAAGTTGAGGACTACCTGTATTATGAAGAAGAATCGAATAGAGCTGAAAGGGACCTTGGAGGTCTTCTAGTCCAGCCCCCTGCTCAAGCAGGAATTAATTGTATTATGTTGGCTTTTTATCCTGGCTTTCTGCCGAGAGCGGGGGAACCTCATTTCCCGTGAAATAGGTTGGAGAAAGAGAGAGAGAGAGAGAAGAGGAGACAGAAGAGGGGCCTAGAATCACCCCAGGAGGTTGGATTTGAATCAGGACCTTCCCTGGACCTTCGCCACTACACACAAAGACATTCAATCTGTTTTTTCGTCCTAAGATTTACGGTAACTTTCAGACTAAGCTGTCCAACTCCATCATTTTTTAGAAGCGTGGGGTTTTACATCCTGTAATTCTAGCCAGCAGAGCTAGTTTGAAATTTAAGATGATTTGATAAGGCATAGTTGTGGTTAATAATTTCCCCTTTAATAGGGTATTCGGGAAATTAATGTTTCCCCACAGCCTGGTGAAATAATTAACTAGAACACAAAAAGAGGTGTGGGACATATTATCTAAAGGGACACGTAGGCTGAAAAACTATATGCGGTTATTGATTTAAGGGGAGAGTTTTAAATCTTCCTAAAATGAAGCAATGTTTTCTTTGCTCAGCTGGGGAGAACCAAGAGGTAGCAAAGCTTGTATAAACTGTGTGATATTTCAAAGGATAACGCACCACTTTTCAAACAGATGCAGAGTTTTTTTCAGCCAAACCCAAAAAAATGCTTTTTCTACTTGTTAGAAAATAAGAATCTGGGATCTGAATACAGGCAGCTGATAGCTTTCTATTACCATTATTTGACAGATCCAAAAAGAGGATCTAGCGGTGGTCAAGAAAGGAAGTTACTAAGAGTGGCCTAGACAAAATGTTAGCAGTTGTGATGATGCAAACAAACTTCTTAGAAAAGTCGTATACGAAAGAGCATCCTGAGCATCTAGTTCGGTATCTAAATAATTGTTAAATGGTTACCTAATGGTGGGAACTTAATGATACAATGGGGAACTTCTGCCTTTTGCTCGGAACCTATTTTTTCTTTTAATGTGCTGTGTCTCAGAAGTCTTTGTAAAAGATTTCCTACCAAAACATCACACCTTTGTTACTGTTTTACCTGAACATATTTGCTGTCTTGGCGCAAATTTCTGTCCCGCAGGATCTCGTCGAGGGTAATTTTCCCCACCGTCCGGAGACCTGGAAAAATCAGATTGATGCATCAGGATGGCTGGCGTCTCACGGAATCAGCCGGGAAGAATAATGTCAGCGCTCACCTTCAAATAGGGCAGCCTCCCCGTAGCCTTCTCTTTGCTTCTCTTCAAACAGCTTCAAGCAAGCGAGGGGACTGGCCAGAAGCAGCCGGAAACCCTGCGTGGAGAGACACCCCCAAGGAGGGTAAGAACCGGAGCTGAATTTTGTTCCCAGAGAATCAGAATAACAGAGTTGGAAGGGACCTTGTGGGTCATCTAGTCCAACCCCCCCAACCAAGCAGGAGACCCGACACCATTTCTGACTGAGGGCAGTCCAGTCTCTTCTTAAAAGCTTCCAGTGATGAAGTTCCCACAACATCTGGAGGCAACAACTGGATGCAGGAGGTTTGCTGTGTTTTACTTACTGCGAGGTCCGCACACAAACAGTTGAACTAACATGCCAGTTAGTAAAGTAGTCCTCACCTTATGACTACACAATGGAGACCAAAAGTCCTGTCGCTAAGCGGGACAGGTCTTAAGTTTGTTTTGCCCCATTTTACAACCTTCCCTTGTCACAGTTGTTAAGTGAATCACTGCAGTGGTTAAGTTAGTAACCCGGTTGTTAAGTGAATCTGGCTTCCCCATGGAGTTTGTTGGTCAGAAGGCCGCAAGAGGGAAATCACGTGACTCCGGGACACTGCAACCGTCATAAGTATGAACCAGTTGCCAAGCGTCCAAATTTTGATCATGTGACTGCAGGGATGTTGCATGATGGGGTGAAAATGGTCCTAAGTCACTTTTTTCAGTGCCCTTGTAACTTTGAACTCAATTGTTGTAAGTCGAGGAATACTGTTTTATTTTATTTTATTTTTTATTTTTTTTATTATTTTTTATTATTTTATTTTATTATTTTATTTTATTTTACTTATTTTATTTTTTATTTTACTTTATTTTACTTTATTTTACTTATTTTATTTTATTTTGTTTTATTTTATTTTTTATTTTACTTTATTTTATTTTTTATTTTACTTTATTTTATTTTTTATTTTACTTTATTTTATTTTTTATTTTACTTTATTTTTTATTTTACTTTATTTTACTTTATTTTTTATTTTATTTTATTTTATTTTAATTTTATTTTATTTTATTTTATTTTTTGTTTTGTTTTGTTTATTTATTTTACTTTATTTTTTATTTTATTTTTTATTATTTTATTTTATTTTACTTATTTTATTTTGTTTGTTTTGTTTTGTTTTTTATTTCATTTTTTATTTCTTTATTTTTTATTTTATTTTACTTTTTATTATTTTATTTTATTTATTTTAATTTATTTATTTTAATTTAATTTTTTATTTTATTTTATTTTACCTATTTTATTTTGTTTTTTGTTTTTTATTTTATTTTGTTTTATTTTTTATTATTTTATTTTATTTTACTTATTTTATTTTGTTTTGTTTTATTTTTTATTTTATTTTTTATTTTACTTTATTTGATTTTATTTTTTATTATTTTATTTTATTTATTTTAATTTAATTTTGTTTTGTTTTGTTTTTTTTTATTTTATTTTTTATTTTACTTTATTTTATTGATTTATTTATTGTATTGTTTTACTTTATTTTATGGAGAAGGAAGATATGATAAAGGAAAAGTTCACACAGGGTTATGCAGATGGCCCCGCCCCTATGCAGCCAGGTAAGCTGGCCTGATGTTCATAATCTACTGCAGGTGAATGCAAGCTTAATTGGGAAAGGGAATGACAGCACATAGAATAATAAGCCTGGAAGGGGCCTTGGAGGTCTTCTAGTCCAACCCCCTGCCCAGTTTCCCCCATCGATCCGTACCTTCTTGCCTGGAGCTGGAACAAAGCTCAAGAATTCATCCACGTGACCCACCGTCAGCCAATCGGAATAAAGCTCTACAGGAGCTTGAACCCTCTGAGCATAAAGAAAATCTCGCACAACTTTTGCCATTTTCCTGTTGCCGGATCTACGTATTGGACAAAGAGAAAAGGGTGAAATGCAGAAGCTCCAGAACGATTCTGATTCCTTATGTGTTGAGAAGGACTTCTTCAGGATGGCTCTTTTGAGGAGGAGGCAACGCTTACAACTTCTGGTGGCAAGCTGTTCCACTGGCCAATTCTCCTCACTGTTAGGAAGTTTCTCCTTAAATTCCAGGTGGCTTCTCTCCTCGATTAGCTTCCATCCGTTACTCCTTGTCCTGCTTTTTGTTGCCTCTCGCTCTGCAGCACTGACGGCAACATTAAGAGGCATGGACTTCAATTCCCAGGATTCCCCGGCTCCTGCAAGGCTGGCTGGGGAATTCTAGGAGTTGAGGTCCACACTTCTTAACATTGCCTTAACTCTGCTTTAGGCCAGAAGAAAAATTGAAGGAGCAGATCATTTTTCTCGGCAGCTCTTCTCAGACTTTGGAACTCCCTGCCACGGGAAGTTCCCTGCTCCCTCTCTTGCTATTTTCCCAATCGGCGGGACAAATTTTAATCATGGAGGATTTTGGTGCTTGAACCAGTTTGGTGACTGCAGTGAGCAGAAGGGTTATTAATGTGCCTTCCTACTGTTTTTCATTATCTTTTGCTGAGTGTGTTTGGTGGAATAACACCCAAGAAATAAATCTCAGTTTCCTTGTAACTGAGGCATCTACAGATTGGTGGCCCAAGGGCATGCAGGCTGAAGAGCCAGAGAAGAGAAGAACCCATGAACACTTATGGTCTAGCTTTCCGTTGGTCACTGCTAAGTCGTGTCCAACTCTTTGCAACCCCATGGACCACAGCATGCCACGCCTCAGCGTCCTTCACTGTCTCCCCAAGTTTGCCCAATTTCACGTTCGTTGTGCCAATGGCTCACTCTAACCCCGGGGTAGGCAACCTTGGCTCTTTTATGACTCGTGGACTTCAACTCCCAGAATTCCTGAGCCAGCCATGCTGAGGGGAAAGGGAGAGGTTTCCATGCTTAGCCGTGCCAGCTCAGGAATTCTGGGAGTTGAAGTCCACGAATCATAAAGCGGCCTAGGCCTAGGACAGAGGTAGGCAACCTTGGCTCTTTTATGACTCGTGGACTTCAACTCCCAGAATTCCTGAGCCAGCCATGCTGAGGGGAAAGGGAGAGGTTTCCAAGCTGAGCCATGCTACCCTTGCTCTAACCATCTCATCCTCCTTCTCCTTTTGCCTTCCATCTTTCCCAACATCAGGGGTTTTCTCCGATGAGTCCTCTATTCTCATTTGGTGGCCAAAAAAAAGTACTGGAGCTTCAGCCTTAGGATCTATCCTTCTGCCACAGATTCCCTCCCACAGACCGGTACGCTCCCACAGAGTGGGCCTCCTCAGGGTGCCGTCGGCCAAGCAATGTCGGCTGGCGACCCCCAGGGGGAGGGCCTTCTCTGTGGGTGCCCCCACCCTCTGGAACGAACTCCCCCCCGAGATCCGGATGAAAGGCCTAGAGGAATGAAAGGCGGCGCGGGAGTTCTGTACCGAAAAGGTCGTTCGCCCGGACTGGATCCCTCCTAAAATCCATCCCTAAAATCCATCCCTGCAAAAAATTTTTCATTATTTAATGGGAACACAGCAATCAATATTTGGCTTTTAATTAGGTTTTAGTGGGGTTATTTTGTGTATTTTTGTATGATTTTTGTATGATTTTTTTCGTATCCTGTATATTGTATTTGTGTTTTTAATATGCTGTGAACCGCCCTGAGTCCTACGGGAGAAGGGCGGTATACAAATTAAATTAACCTAACCTAACCAAAGGACAGTCCACGTCAAATTTCCTTTAGGATCAGCTGTTGGATCTCCTTGCAGCCCAAGAGACTTCTCCAGCACGACATGGTCTGCCTCCTTGACTGCACATTTTTTGGTGGCCGGTTGGTTCCTGCAAGTTGTATTAAACTCCTTGATTGTAGAAACAGAGGCATAGAATCAAAATCACGTGAAGTACTGTATTAGTACCGCTTTAGAAAGCCTTGGTAAGGCCACATATGGAATAAGGCATCCGGTTTTGGTCACCACATTACAAAGAAGATATTGAGACTTTGGAAAAAGTGCAGAGAAGAGCAGCTAAGATGATTAGGGGACTGGAGACTAAAACATACGAAGAACAGCTGCAGGATTTGGGTTTGGCTAGTGTAGGAAAAAAGAAGAACTAGGGGGGACATGATAGCAGTATACCAGGATACGAGGGGCTGCCATAAAGAAGAGGGGGTTCAGCTTATTTTCCAAGCTCCAGAAGGCAGGAGATTGCTTCCTACCTACCTACCTACCTACCAACCTAATCAAGGAGAGAAGTAACCTGGAATTAAGGAGAAATTTCCTAACAGGGAGGACAATTAACCAGTGGAACTGCTTGCCTCCAGAAGTCGTGGGTGCTTCATCACTGGAGGTTTTTAAGAAGAGACTGGATAGCCAGTGGTCTGGAATGGTATAGGGCAGTGGTGGCGAACCTATGACACGGGTGCCAGAGGCGGCACTCGGAGCCCTCTCTGTGGGCACACATGCCGTCGCCCCAGCGACCCCCCGCGGCCCCCTCCTCACCAGCAGCCCCCCTGGAGGAGAGTCACCCCCGAGCATGGCCCACGCGGAGCAGCACAGCCAAGGACATGGCAGCCAGGCAGCGTAGACAAGACTCTGCCCTCACACCCCATCCCGCACAGTTGATGCTGCGGGGCGCGGGCAGAGGGCATGGCCGCCATGGCGCTGCTGGGTGATCTGTGGTGGGCCCTGGAGGCGGTGAGTGGCCCTGCGGGCAGGCGGAGTGAGGGCGGGGCAGGGGGTGGAGCGGGGGCAGGGCCAGTTTTGGGGCACTCGGTCTCTAAAAGATTCGCCATCACTGGTATAGGTTCTCCTGCTTGAGCAGGAGGCTGGACTAGAAGACCTCCAAGGCCCCTTCCAGCTGTATTCTGATGGATTGAAGTGTTAAGGAGTGATGGAACACATGGGCCTCACGACTTCCTTACCCAGGAAAACTGCTGCCGATGAGAATTCTCCCCAAGGAATAGTCTCTTCCCTTGACTGAGACAGGGGGGCTGACATCCAGGTTACCAAAAGAATCGAGACTGGACACTCTTCCGTTCTTGGGTTCCCGAGTGACATACCCAAAATCAGGTCCCTTGGTGGCAATAAAGACAAAGAGGATAGAGCGTTGTAAAAGCCTTGAAAAGATTATTCTTTCTTTTTTTTCAAAAAAAAAAGAGAGAGAGAGAGACCCACTGAAGAATCTTCTATCCCTTAGAACAGACATGTCAAACACATGGCCCGGGGTCTGGACGCGGCCCGCAAAGTGGTTTCATGTGGCCCGCGAAGCCATCCTGGAAACAGTGAGGGAACGGCCCCCGCTGCCTTGGCCCTGGCCCAGGCCCAGGCCGGCCGGGGGCCAATGTACAATTTTGTGGTGGCCATCTGTGCTGAAACGCATTCAGTCTTAGCGCCACAAGGCCGTCTGGAAACAGCGAGGAACCAGCCCCTGCCGTGTCGGACCCGCCCCTTGGGTGCATGCTGGAGAGGTGTCACCCTTTGTGAGGAATGAAGAAATGCACCATTGCCTGGAAGTGGCCAGCAAATGGCCCTCGCCTACTTCACCTATCCGGCTTGATGGGCTCTGCCCCAGTCCCACCCCCTTCCACCGGAGACCCTCAGATTTGTCCCACTCCTGCTCAGGCCCCCACAAGCACCCTTGACGCGAATGATGTAGAGCTGGCCATGCCCACCCAGTAGGCCACACCCACTCCATCCACGCCCACACACCCAGTAGGCCACCCCGCCACCCCACCCCGAGGGCAACCGCAATGCTGATGCGGCCCTCAATGAAATTGAGTTTGACATCCCTGCCTTAGAAGTCATGGAGGACTTTTCCACGTTTTTGGTGAAACAGGAAAACTTAGTGCGGTTCAGATGTCTTGTGGCTGGAAGTCAACCTCTCTCCTGTTGAGGTTCCTCAGAGGAAGGAAAGATGGTCCTGTTTCTTCTGTTCTAAGGAGGGGAGAATCTGATCTGTCTTGGCCCAAGAAAGAACGGGAGAAGTTGACTTACCAAAATCTTCTTAAAAGGAAATTCCTTCAGGCCCCGATTCCTGGGAGAATCGAAGACGACAGGGAAGGATTGGTGAGGAGCCTCTACATACCCAAATTCCATCTCATCCTGTTGGGGGAATCAGAATAACAGAATAACAGAATGAGAAGGGACCTTGGAGGTCTTCTAGTCCAACCCCCTAACCAAGCAGGAGACCCTATACCAAATGGCTCCCCAGTCTCTTATTTAAAAAAAAACAAAAAACTGCAGTGATGGAGAATCCATAAACGTCTGGAGGCAAAACAGTTCTACCGATTGCTTTTATTAATTAATTAATTTTCGCCGATTCGTCGCTGGAGAGATTTGATCAGGGGGATCCAGTCTGGATCCCAATCCTTCCCGCACAAGTGTACCTGAATCCAGCGGTCTCCTCGGTTTTCAACCTCCGGGCAAATGGTTAACTTGCAGTTGGCTTTCCTTGCTAAAAGTTTAATCGCCTCCAGGAATTTTCCGTTGGAGTTGACACCCTTCTCGATGCTAAACGAAAGAGAAGATGGCAGCCGGAATTACAAGTGAGAAAGATGATCAAGGAATGCTCCAGTTCAATTTCTTTCCTCTCCTGAGGATTTCACTCCCGTTGGACGTGCATTTCCAAAAATCTAAAATTTAATTTCGGTTAATGAGTCGTGTTAACCCCAGGAAGGGAATCCTGCTGGTGTTTTCATGGATACCTGCAAACAAAGATCTCCAGGGGTCTCTGAGTGCTGGGGGTCATGAGCCAAGGAGCCACGTGGAAAATGACAGTATCCGTGAAAACTGGAATGGCTGGTGAGGACTGGAAAGAGAAGAGAGAAAATGAATGAAATTAGGGCCAGGGCCTTCCAACTCTAACTTGGAACTGCTTCCGAAAAGTGGACTGCAGGACAAAAAAAACGGTGGCTTTTTAATCCGGTGAGCCCAGACATGCTTTTATATAATAATAATAATAATAATAATAATAATAATAATAATAATAATAATAATAATAATAATAATAATAATAGTAGTAGTAGTAGTAGTAGTAAAGTTGGAAGGGACCTTGAAGGTCATCTAGTCCAACCCCCTGCTCAGGCAGGAAACCCTATACCATTTCGGACAAATGACTGTCCAGTCTCTTCTTAAAAACTTCCAGTGTTGGAGCATTCACCGCTTCTGGAGGCAGGTTGTTCCACTGGTTAATTGTTCTCCCTGTCAGGAAGTTTCTCCTTAGTTCTAGGTTGCTTCTCTCCTTGATTAGTTTCCATCCGTTGCTTCTTGTCCTGCCTTCAGGCGCTTTGGAGAAGAGCTTGACTCCCTCTTCTTTGGGGCTGCCCCTGAGATACTGGAAGACTGCTATCATCTCCCCCCTCGTCCTTCTCTTTGTTAAACTAGACATACCCAATTCCAGCAGCCTTTCCTTATATGCTTTAGCCTCCAGTCCCCTAATCATCTTTGTTGCTCTTCTCTGTACTCTTTCTAAAGTCTCAACATCTTTTTTACATCGCGGTGACCAAAATATATCTGTGATTGACCGCTCTAAAACAGAAACATAACAAACCACTTAATATTGGCATGAAAAACAGGCTGGAAATACCTCACCAACCTGTCTAGCTGCTTTTTGAACTGGACATATCGAGGTTTATATCCAAAGCAGATATATGTTTTTTTCCCCACTAATCAGCTCTGGATCCCGCGCCCCCCCCCCCGGATTGTCTTCAGCTTGAAAGGAACCCTTTCCTATTTTGATCTATTATTCTTTCCAAGGTTTATTAGTTCCCCCGGAGTGACAGCTGTCAAGCTGATATAGCTGCGACAAATACAGGATGCCATATTTTAAAATGAACACAGGAAAGCAGCAGAGAGATAAAGGCTAGGAGAAGACATCTCACAGCCAAAACACAGCGAATTGGGGACCAAAGATAGCAGGTTATGTATGGATCATTGGTTACAGTAAAGAATGAATATGTTACCGAACTAGTCTGCTCCATCAGCGTGGCGTTCAAGGAAACGAGGCCGTTGAAGTCTCTGTCTGGGAACGCAAGGCCCTCCACGTAAAAAGTATATTGTGCTTTTCCATCTGTGGGTTGTACGGTGTAGGACAGCTTGTCTGACCCCAAGATGTTCTCATACTGGGAAACCATAGTGTTTTCTGTTGAGGAAATGGTATCATATCCAGAGAGGTTTCCATCCAGTGGAAAGGAAGTCAACAGGAATAAATGAAGAAGAAGAAGAAGAAGAAGAAGAAGAAGAAGAAGAAGAAGAAGAAGAAGAAGAAGAAGAAGAAGAAGAAGAAGAAGAAGAAGAAGAAGAAGAAGAAGAAGAAGAAGAAGAAGAAGAAGAAGAAGAAGAA